CGTCGCCGCTGCGTCGTTCGAACCTGGGGCGTGCCGCTCTGGAGGTGGCGGACTTTGCGCGGCCGCGCTCGAACTCACCCTCGTCTTCTGCTTCTTCGTCGAGCTCGTCCAACTCGATCGATGTCGACTCGGCCCCGCGCGTCGGCGGGGCCCCGAGCGAGCTGACGGGCCCGAGCTACGACCCTGACGGTGGTGGCAGTGACTCTGGTGGCTTTCATGCCGGGCCGCGTCTTGCGCCCACGCCTCCGCGCTGCCGCGGTGGCAGCCCGCGCTGGACCCCTCAGCCCCGACGACGGCGACTCGGACAGTGTTGTGTTCATGGGCTTGGCGCCGGCCGCGCCGGCCACGCTCGTCGCCACTCCCGAGCGCGTCGGCCGCCTCGAGGACTTGACGGGGCTGCTGGCGATGGACACGCTGCCCTCTACTTTGCGAAGAACGTCGCCCAGTGCTGCAATGTCGCCGTCGGCCTCTTTGGTACAAGCTTTTGCTTCTTGGATGGCCGCCCCCAGTGCTTCGGCGTCGCCTCATCCGTCCCAGATTGGCTCGTTGAGTTCTTCGGTTGCCACGCCCTCGGCTTCGCAGATGTCTGAGCGCCAGCCCATCCATGTGTCGGTACCAGTGCGTCTCAGTGCTGGCCGTCAGATATTGTCGACGGCGCCGATCAGCTCGCTTTCGTCTCAGATCCCACCCCGTTCGAGCCCTCCTGCTGCTGCTCCTCCTCGTCCTCCGCAGGTGTGCGATATGAATAAAATATCGGCTATCCGTGAATCGTCTACTCCAGCTTCGCCACGGGCTGCGCGACCATCTGCAGGCGCGCCCGAGCTTCCCCCGCCAGGCGCAAAGGCCGCTTGGGGCGGGGTGGGGTAGGTGTGGATTGGGGACTCCCTCCTTACGCTCGTCTCCTCCTCCTATTCCTGCTCCTCCTCCTTCTCCTTTTCCTTCTCCTCCTCCTCCTCCTCCTCCTCTCCCTCGCCTTCTCTTATCCTGCTCCCCGCTTGTTGTCTCCCCTTTGTCTGTTCCCGCCTACGCGGGCGCCTGCTTTGTCCCCCTGGCCATGGCCTCCCGCCTGCGCGTTCGCCGTCCTGTGCTTGCTTCTCTGTAACTTGTTTGTTCTCTCTCTCTCTCTCTCATGTGTGCATCTCTCTCTCTCTCTCTCTCTCTCTTTCGTTCTCTCTCTCTCTCTCTCTCTCTCTATCTCTCGCTCTCGCCTTCTTTCTCTACGTGTGTTTTGCTTCACCTGGGTATGTATGTGTATGTATATATATATATACATATTTATCAATATATGTATACATGTATACATACATACATACATATATATATACGGGCAACGAGATGACATGACATGCTGTGATCTGATATGGTATGATCTAAGACGCCTACGGCGAATCACCGCCGCCCCCTGCCGAACGTTGAGGCCATACCGGCCAAGCTATCGGACCATGTGTTCCCCGAGTCGGGTTGGAAAGCCTTCGGGGAACACGTGGGCATCTTGGAGGTCACTTTGGCCGTTTGGAGGCCATTTTGACCCTGTCGGGCCTTTTGGAAAACGGTTTGGGGGGTTATTGGGCCGTCTTGGAGGCCATCTTGAGCGTCTTGGAAACCTATTGGGCCGTCTTGGGAGCCTCTTGGGGCCGTGTCTTGGGCCTCTTGGGCGATCTTTGGGGGCACTTGGGCCGTCTCGGGCCGTCGGAAGGCAGAAAGAAAACACGCGCCACAATCCTTCAAACACCCATCGGAAATTATGGATTTTGGCATTTTCGGGCCTTCCTGGAGGCCCTCTGGGGGCCTTTTGGGCCGTCCTGGGCCATCTTAGGGCCACGTTCGGCCGTTTGGGTGGGCTCCTGGTCCGCCTGACGCCGTCGGAAGCCGTTTGGGGGGCCTCTATGGACAGACCTGCGGCCCTTTTGGAATGCTCCAGGACCGTTTGGGAGGCCACCTTGGGCGTCTTAGAGGCTTCCTGTGCCGTCTTAGGGGGCCTCTTGGGGCCGTCTTGGGGCCCTCTTGGGCCGATCTGGGGCCATCTTGGCAGCCTCTTGGGCGATCATTCGGCAATTTTTCGAGGCTCTTGGGCCGTCTCGGGCCGTCGGAAGGCCGAAAAGAAGCAAGTGTTAACATCCCTCAACAACAATAGGACAATCAATGTTTGTTCGTCTCTTCTGGCATTCCTGGAGGCCCTCTTGGGGGCCTCTTGGGCCGTCTTGGGCCAGCTTCAAGCCAATTTCGGCCATCTTGGTGGGTTCCTGGCACGTCTGACGCCGTCGGGAGCCGTCTTGGGGGCCTTTCTGGGCCAGCTTGGGGCCCTCTTGGAGCGCTTCGGGGCCGTTTTGCAGGCCATCTTGGGCGTCTTGGAGGCCATCTTGGGCGTGTTGGAAGCCTCTTGGGCCGTCTTGGGGCCCTCTTGGGGCCGTCTTGGAGGCCACTTGGGCCGTCATGGGGCCCTCTTGGGGGCCTTTTGGGCGATCTTGGGGGCTCTTGGGCCGTCTTGGGCCGTCGGAAACCCGAAAAAGTGCAAATGCCAAAATCCGTCAAAAACCTACGGAAATCAATGATTTTGGCCTCTCCGGGCCTTCCTGGAGGACGTTTTGGAGGGCTCTTGGGCCGTCTTGGAGGCCTTTTGCGGGCCTTTTGGGCCGTCTCGGACCATATTGAGGCCGTCTTGGAGGCATCTTTGGGCCATCTTAGCCGTCTTAGAGGCCATCTTGGGCCGTCATGGAGACGTCTTGGGGACCATCCTGGGCCATCTTGGCCGTCTTGGACGCCATCTTGGGCCAACTGGAGGAAACAGAGGCACGACGGACGCGTTTCGAGCGCCTTTCCGGGTGGTCGGCGGGACGGGCCGAAGCCCCAGGGGGAGTTTTTTTTTTTTTTTTCTCAACAACAAAAAAGAAAGCCAGATCATCCGGCACGCCAGGCACCCCTTTGATAAACCAAAAGGGGGCGGCGGCCCATCCCGCCACCGTGCCTGGGTTGCGGGTGTGAGGCCACTTGGATGTTCGTTTGGATTTCTCGGGAGGCCTGTCGGGGGCCTCTTGGAGGCAGTTTGGACGCCTCTGGAGGGCTGTTTTGGGGCCTCGTTGGGGCCTCTTGGGGGCCTCGTGGGGGCCTCTTGGAGGCAGTTTGGACGCCTCTGGAGGGCTGTTTTGGGGCCTCTTTGGGGCCTCTTAGGGGGCCTCGTGGGGCCTCTTGGGGGCCTCGTGGGGCCTCACGGCCGCGCCGCCGCTTGGGGCCTCCTGGGTGGCCCCTTCGGGCGGAAGGGTCGGATGTTCGGTTCCGGTTCCATCCGTTGGGCACCTTTTGGGGCCGTCTTGGGGCCGTATTGGGCGCCTTTTGGGCCGTCTTGGGGCCCTTGGGGGCCGCTTGGGGGCCCTCTTGGAGGCCTTGTGGGCTGTCTTGGGGCGGTCTTGGTTGCCTCTTGGGCCGTCTTGGAGCGTCGAGAAGCCGAAACAGGCGAGAAGCCCTGAGTCCTTCGAGCTCTCTTGGGTGGCTTCCTGGAGGCCTCTTGGGGCGTCTTTGCGGCCTCGTGGGCCGTCTTGGAGCCATCTTGGATGTCTTTGAGCGATCATCGGGCGTCTCGGGGCTACCTTGGACCGTTTGGGGGCCCTCTTGGGGCAACCTTGGCCCGTCCAGAGGCCCTTTTGAGCCCAACAAGTAGTGCAACAAGCTGCCGGGAACACCTGGAGGCGCGCGAGAAGCCCCAGGTGATTCCGAATGTTTGGGTCCGGGCCCTTGAAAGACGCCTCAGGACTGAGGACTGTGGCTCCAAGGATTAGGGAAAAGGACCTGAGGACACGCCCACTCCGTGCCCAGAGGCACGGTGGCGGATCTCTTTGTCGCTGCGCAGCACAGACTGCTGGGAGCCGGCTTCGCTAGCGCATCTTGGACTACATGGTTCTTCGATCGTTCGTTGTTCGGTTGGATCGGTGAGGTTGTCGGTGGACGCCCCCCGACTGTCGAAGAAGAGCACAAACAAACAAAAACTGTCATGTCCGACGGACCGCGCGGATTTCTCGGATCGGCGCTGGACCCCCCCCGCGGAGCCTCCAGCGCCGCCCCTGGGGCGCACACCGCGCGCAGGGAGGGCGGCCAGCGCGGATCCAAGCGATCCACACGGACCTCCGACAGTTTGTGTTTGTGCTTTGTTTTGCCCCTGTATAGACAGGTGGCGGCGACCGGGCACGCGGGCGACTGCCAGCTGAGCGCGGTGGTGGAACTGCGCCGGCCGGAGGGCGGCGGCGCCGGGGGCTCGGCCGCCTCCTTGGCGGGCGTGGCGCTGGCCTCGGCGGAGTGCGGCCTCTCCGCGAGGCTGGAGGTCAGCGCCGTGGACCAGGCGCGGGCAGCGCGGCGCGTGCTGCGCTACGCGCTGTGGGCGAACGCGCTGACGCTGGTGCAGATCATGTGCTTCCTGTGCCAGATGCAGCACACGGAGGAGATCGGAGGGCACCGATGTTTCGACGTATACGCCACGTCGTTCGGTCGGCCGTGGAGCCAAGGAGTTCGGCACTCCAGCGTCCCCACAGGTTGGGCAGCCGGGCGCCTATGCACCGAGCTCTCCGAGCTCTTTGGCCGACCAAGCGGCGCGGTGCATATATCGGGCCCCTCCCAGGAGAGCGGCGACTGGGCCAGGCTCTCCGCCGGCGGCGTGGCGGCGCAGGCCCTGCCGGACGCCTACGACTCCCTGCTGCACCTGGGCCTGAGCACCATCGCGCAGGACACGTTCAACGCATTCGTGATAGTTGGAGTTTGCTGGGGGGCTGACGTGGCCCACCACTGGTTCCTGCCAGCCAGACGGTGGAGAAAGGGCCCCCTCGTCGCCACGTTTGGACGCGGCTAGAAAAACTTGTCAGTTTCGACCCGGGAGGCGACTTGGGACCGATTGTAAGCTGACTTGCCCTCGCTCGCCCCCCCCTCTTGACCGATTGTCTCGGGGGCAATCCAGCGCAGACCCCCTGGCCGCTTCCAACGTGATAGTCTCTCTCTTCAAGTTTACTCTGTTTACCATGGTGGAGGTGCGTTACCTGCTGGCTATCTGGCGCTACCGCAATCGCGAAATCTTTCTCGAGGGCTGGGACGCCGTCCGGCTCGAGCTGGTGCGGGTGTATTTCTGGTTCTACGGCGTCCTCGTGGCCGGTTTCGCCCTCGTCTTCTACCACCTGGACCACCTAGGCTCGATCGCCGTCATCTTCCAAGCCTACTGGTGCCCGCAGATACTCCACGACGCGCGCCACGGCTGCAAGAACTCGCTCCGGACTAAGTTCGTGGTTGGCATCTCCGTCACTCGGTGCTTGGCCGTCCTCTACCTGTGGGGCTGCCCCACTCCTGTCTTCGACGGCGACGTCTATCCGAGCTTACCGCGCTCACCCAGCTGGACGGTGTGCGTCATGGCGGTGGTGGTGCAGGCCTTGCAGCTGGCGGTGATGGCATCCCAGAGGGCCTTTGGCCCGCGCTGGTTCGTGCCCAGGTCGACGGCGGGAGCTAAACCCTGCCAGCCTTGCTTACTCCGCTCCTCCCTCCGCCTGTCCCTCCCCCCCGCCACACGCCACTTCCACTTCGCGACGGGCAAAGGCAGAGGGGAGGGAGTGGTGGCTGGCACGGGTGTGCACACAGCACTCCTCGCGAGGATTTGCTTGCCTGCTGCGTACAACTACCATCGCCCCGTGGACTTGAGGCAGGCTGACGAGTGCGTGATCTGCATGGAGGAGCCGAAAGCCAGATTCTCCTCGAATGAACACGGCCTCCAGGAAAGGAGAATAGCAGGAGGAGAAAAAGGAGGATGAAGGAAAAGAGAGGGAGGAATACAAGTTTCAAGCTAGGTGTGCTCGCGTCATGTCGGATATCCTGCCCGTCTCACCCATTCCTGCCCATTGCGCTGATTTTTCTAAATCCGCGGACGCGTGTCATAACGGACCTGGAATTCCAAAAATGGGCCCCTCGTGTTCTGCGCAATCGGAGATATGGGGAGCTGCGTACATCTGAGGAGTAGGAGGTGGCGGATGAGCATGGGGCGAAGGAGGAGGAGGAGGAACAAGAAGGAGGACGAGCAGCTGGAGCAAACGAAGCGGGAAGAGCAGGAGGACCAGGTGAAGGCGGAAGGCGGGGGGGCGACTACGATGAGGAAAGATTCGGATCTAGACAAGGGGCCCGCACTGGGGCGAGAGGGCCCTTCTGAACGGTGGGAGCAAAGCGCCGATCCTGAAATGAGGCCAGCACTACAGCGGGAGCACCATTCTGAAGGACCGAAGACGATTGGTTCGTAAACAACACCAGAAGACAAACAAGAGCATTGTACATGCTGTGTGGACGCGGAAGGCCGAGCATCTTGTGGACAGAGTCGAGGGAAGAGAGGAGAGTAGGATTTAGAATGTGCAGTTGTGCAGTGTGGAGGAGGGTGTCTGTCGGACGGGGCTAGGACGAGTATGCATACCTTCCAGAGCGTTCCAGAACGCTCTCGGAGTCTTTCGGAACGCTCTGAGAAGGCCGCGGCGCCCGAGACATCCTACAGAGCCGCGGGATCTCAGGGATTCTCGATTTGGTCTGGCTTCGTCTTGAGTTGTCAGAAAGTGTAGTTGTGCAGTATGGAGGAGGGTGTCTGTTTTGCAAGAGGGGCCAAATCTACGGAGACTGCCTTTCGGAGGAGCTTGGTGCCGAGGGGGGACGGCAGCGCCTTGCCGTGGCTCCATGTGGGCACGTGTTCCACGCCTCTTGCCTGGAACGGTGGATGGACGTGAAGATGGAGTGCCCCACGTGCAGAGCGGCCCTACCCCTGATGACATAGCACCAAAAAGTACTGCTCCTCCTCCGCCTCCACCTCCGCCTCCACCTTCGCCTCCACCTCCGCCTCCTCCTCCTCCTCCTCCTCCTCCGCCTCCGCCTCCGCCTCATCCCTCCTCATCCCTCCTTCTCCTCGCTCCTCGGTCATCGTCTGCAACCCAGGGGTCGAGAAATTGGCCTGCCGCCCTCCGCGGAGGCCAGCGGGAGTCTGGCGGAAGCTGGCGGACGTAAAATGAGGTCGGCGTAGTTGGCGGAAGCTAGCAGAAGCAACAGTTCACCTCCCCCAAGATGTCAGCGCCGATTTGACCAGGGCTGCGCAAATGGTCGCAGTCCTTGTCGCCATCGTCTTCGTCATCGTCCACTGTCGCGTCTCACGCTAGTCGCCTGTAGGAGCTCGCACAGGCCAGGCAGGCGCGCCCACATATACATACTCACCTTCGTGCTCACATGCACGCATACAAACACACACGCACACACACATATACATATATATATATATACATACACAGATGCATACATCTGCAACGGGTTCCAGTGGACAATGACGAACTTGTCGGTCGACTTACACCAGGATGGGAATGCTGCGATCGGCGAGCTTGGGGGGCATGTCGTCTTTGGGATTTCGGCCAGATCTGGGTCCCGCTCCCGCACTCTTGCGAGCAGCGCCGGTGTCGAAGCGCCCACGTGCTGCCCTTCCCCCTCCTCCTCCCTCGGGCGGACGCCTGCGTCCACCCAGGATGGGCCAGCACGCCCAGGCATGGATTTTCGTTTGCTTGTGCTCTGTGCCTGAATCCGTGTAGCATGTGATGACGTGGAGGTGGGTGGGACGTCCATCTATCTCCCTGCTTGTGCCTGCTGGCCCACCTCTGTCCCTCCCTCTTCGGGCGAGTCTCCCCCTCCCCCTCCCCCCTCAAAAACATGTCTTCGCGAGCCTGCAGCCTTTCTCAGGCCCACCTTTCTGTGGAGCGCAGGGCCGCAGAGCGCCAGCGGGCGCCGAAACGCGGCGGATGGCACGGCGCCTGTGCCTCTCGGCGGCGGCCTTCACGGCGGCGGCGACCGCGTCGCCGGGGCCATCGCTCTACGACCTGACCGTCACCGGCATCGCCGGCGACGCCCTGCCGCTGAACAGCCTGCGCGGCAACGTGACGGTGCTGATCAACGTGGCGACTTACTGAGGCTACACGGCCGACGCGTACGTCGCGCTCGGCCAGCTGCAGCGGCGGTACTCAGAGGAGGGCGAAGTGCGACAGCGCTAGTTGGCCCTCTGGGGGGCCCCCTCGTCGCCACGGCTGGACGCGGCTCGGAACACGAGTGCGTTTGAACCCAGGAAACCGATTGTGAGCTGCCGTTGTCTCAGCTCGCCCTGCTCCGAGGTACGCTGGGAAGCCAGTGCGCTTCCTCTTGGCCCCGTGCAACCAGTTCTTGCACCAGGATCGGTGGGGGGATCTGCCTACTGGGAGGAGAGAGGAGAGAGCATGGACCCCCAGTCGCCCCTTCCTCGCCGATCGGGGCGGGGTTGGTCCCCCACTCCGCTCAGGAACGTGCGGTTTTGCCATCTGGGGCCTGTCGCTGATTCATCGGCGAGGAGTCGTTGATTTTGGGTCATTGTCTGGCCGCCTGGGCCAGCGCACCTCTGTCGACACCCCCAGAAAGGAGCCCGACCCGAATCAGCAGATCTCGCATTTTGCAGAGCAGTACGTTGACCTCCACCAGGGCAACATCATCATGCTCGCAAAGCTCAGCCTCAACGGCGTCTCGTGCAGCTACGGGGGCGCCGACGCGTGCACAGCAGCCTCTGCTGGGTGTTGCCCCACGAACGACGCTGTCTACAGCACGCTTCTCACCAACTACCCCCTGGTTTGCACCAAGTGCACAAACCCAACCAGCCCCAGCCGGCCGATTGGCTGGAACTTCAACAAGATCCTCCTGGGCAAGGACGGGCGCCCCTGGACGCTGGAGATCCTCGCCGGCGGCGACGACGACCTGGCCCCGTGGATCGACAGCATGCTGTCCGACGACGCCCCCCCCGCCAAGGACAGCGTGGCCACGGGCGCCCTCGCGGCGGCCGTCGGGGCGCCGCGGGAGCGCCCGTGGTTGGCCGCCTGCGGCGCACTCGCCGCACTCACCGCAATTTCCGCCCGCGCCGCCCTGACGGCGCTCTGGTGGCCGGCACGCACGACGGACGACGACGCCTACCTGCGCGTGGAGTAGGGCAGGCAGGCATAGCCGACGAGGAAGAAGCAACAAAACCATAGTCGTAAACGCTCGGGGTCCGAAGTGTCGCGCGGATGTTCTGGATCAGCGCCGGATCTCCCTAGCGGCGCCTCCGTGAGCGCAGCGCTGATCCCAGAAATCAATGCTGGCCTAAGACTGTTTATGTCTATGTTGCTATCTTCCTCTGCACAGGATGAGGGCAAATCGCTCCAAAGCGGTCTGGAACGCTCTGAGAGCGTTCCTGAGCGCTGTGGAATTGCCGCGGTTCCCGATGCGCACTCCAGACCCACCAACTCTCGGAGACTCTCGCACGCAGGAGCCACATTCGCAGCGCTCTTCCCGCCGGGCAGGGGTTCCCGCAGGCCGCGTTGCTGGCAGCCCGCGTGGGGCTTCCCTGGGCCTCTCTCGGTGCTGTCTCGGCCTGTCGGTGGCTCGCATAACTGGGCGGGGCTAGGACAGGGATGAATCGTTTCAGAGCGTTCTGGAACTTTCTCTGAGCCTTCCAGAACGCTCTGAGGAGGCCGCGACGCCACATCTTCCAGGGCCGCCTGATCTCAGAGATCCCCGATATGTCCTTGTCCGACCTTGTCCACGTCCTGGTTTCGTTTTACGTAAGAGTGACCCTTCGCCAGAGTGACCCATAGTGCTGGCTCACCGAGGTCCGCTCAGCACTGGCTTGAAGCGCCCTGTGCGCTTGGATGTGGCCCCCCCGTGATATCCTGAAGCCTAGCACCGAAGGTCATTCCTGCCTGGGGTCACTCTTGCGCGTAGACGGGTGGCGTGAAGTGCCATGGCGGCGGGAGCAGAAGCGTTGATGAGGAGCAGTCAGGGGCAACGCTAGGGAGGATAGACGAAGGGGATGGGGACGACTCGAACCCTAGTCGCCCATTGATCGCCCATAGGGGCTCGATAGCCCACCCCGCCCAGGACTGTGTGCGGATTCTCTCTCTCTCTCTCTCTCTCGAGGTCTTATCGCCGATGTATCAGCGATGTATTGTCGATTCCAGGTCCATGTTTCCCCCCCCGGAGCTGGTCCCCCCCCCTTGCGTTGCCCCATCCAGCGGAGATTCCCGATGGGTCCTCATCCGAGCTCCGCTTCATCCTGCCCTCGTCTTGGCGGGCGGGGGCCGGCGTCGGCGGGACCCCCGGCGCGGCTGCGCCCGCGCGCGCCGCCCAGAGGCGGCCTCGTGGCGGCCCCTAGCCGGCGCACAGTTTTCCCGCCTGCTTCTCAGGCACTTTTCCCACTTGCCTCCAAGTGGAGGCATGGACATGGGCACCAGCACAGATACAGGAGTTTGTCTCCACCAGGAGAAGATGATCCCAGATGTTGGTGTTGGTGGTAATCTTTTGGCCACCTGGATAGCCAGAATATCACCACGATCACGTAGTCTTCCCTCGGTGGAGGCACACCATCGATGCTGGTGGCAGTGTCAACCTTTAGGCCCGAGTACGGAAAGAATGGGCACAAAGACCGGCAGCAGTTTCTGTTCTAAGCAGGATTCGCTGTCCGCGCCGCCGCGGACGTTGTTCATTGAAGACAGCAAGCCGCCTGCCCAGCAGCGGCCGCTGCCAGTTTCTGACAACATTTGTTGTTGGGCATTGTACCCATTTTTTCATACCCATTTCGGGCGCCCAAACGGCTGCGCCAGGAAGCTGGATGCGCGACGGCAAAAAACGGGGTCGTCCTCGCCGACATCGGCGAGCAAGCTGCTCGCGTAAGGTCGCGCGTAAGCGCCCTCGTTGATTCCAAAGCTGCGTGCCACGCTGGCGGCCCGCGTAAGCCGCGGCGTAAGTTCGATATGCCATCCTGCGTGAGACTCCTTCCCTTTCGTAGCTCACATGTCAAGCAAGACAAGACTGCGTAAACACAAACTTGCGACGCTCCACGCGGATTTCTGGTGTCGGCGCTGGGCCCCCCTGGCGGCGCCTCCGGAGCAGCCCCTGGCACGCTTTGCGGGCCGGGGGGCAGATCTCCTACAAGTTTATGTTCATGCAGGCTTTTGCCCCTTTAACGTGGCCCGCTCCAGAATGGGCTTCGCCTCCAGCGCACCCTCGCCATCGGCGGACGGCGGCGGAAGTAAAACGGCGGCGGCTCCGCTAGCTGGATGCGGCTGCAGTAATTCAGAGCGTAAATTACCTACCCCGCTTTCGCTTCCAGGCAAAACCAAGCCATACCACGCGCCTCCTTGTCAAGCGGCCTGACCAGTACAGGCTGCAATTTGGCATCGTTTGGTATCTCTTGGAAGCGAGGGTGGTCAAAAGCGAGGTAAGTTTGTTTTCCCCCTAGTAATAGTGAGGCGTACACGTTTGGGGGGGTCCAGGGTTTCCAGAATCGGCCAAATCCCAGATCATCTGTTACCGAACATTCCCAGTAACGCTCTGGACGAACTGGCCGCGACCGACATTCGCGAATTCCGATAACGAGCGAGCCGTCGACGCCTTCCAAACCCTCGCTTTGACCTCGAAGCGCCATCTCTTCGTTACCGAAATTCGATCCCGTCCGGTTGCTGTCGACATTCGGCGCGACCGAAATCTGGTACCGACAATCTCTGGCCGCGCATGATTGGGATGGCGCGGCCGGCCTGGACGAGAGTAGGATGCACACACCAGGCCGCCCGTCTTTTCATCGCTCGGGGCCCTTCTGCGGCCGTGCATGGCAGGCCATCAGATCGCGTACCCAGGGAGTTTGGCCTCCGAGTGTTCCACGTGCTGGTGCGGCCACTGCGTGGATGCTTCATCGGACGTTCCTCTGGCTGCGTAGGGCTGGAAGCACCTCCGGCGCTTCCTGAGAAACTTCACGCTCCGAGGGCCCCTCGGCCGCGCGAGGTCGCCTCCTCGATTTGCTCTTGCCTGTCCCTTCCCCGCGCGTGGTAACTAGCTCCGCCTGTGTCCCAGCGTAGCCCGCCATCAATTCGGATCCGAGAAGCCGCCGATCAAAAAGGCCCCCGGTGCTGTCGGCATGGATCAGAGCGACCCGCACCGCCGATGCAGCGCCGACGCGACGCGATCCGCCGACCCCATCTGCCCGGACCCCATCCGGGAGACCTCTCGACGTGTGTTTCCAGCTTCCAAGCTATGGGCTTCAACCACGTGCAGCATTCGCACGGTGTTGCGTGCGAAGGCGGCGCCCAGCGTGCCAGCGTGCGGGACTCTTTCGAGAGTAGTTGGCGCGACGTGGTACACGCAGATGGGCCTAGGTGCCAGACATGGTAGCAAGCCTGAGGCATGCCTTTGCGCTGCCGCGCGTACCTGGCACCGATCTGAGTGAGGGGGTGGCAGGGTGATGTCGGAGGGTCTCGATGAAAACATATGACGTCGTTTAGCCAGTCGAGGGGTCGAGGAGCTCTGCGAGGGGATTCGGTGTATGGACGCTCCAGCGCCCCACAGGCTGGGAAGCTAGGGCGTTTATACACTGAGCTCCGTGGCCGACCAGACGACTTGGTGTATACTTCGAGCCACTCCCAGGGTGGGGGATGACACGAGAAGTCCCACCAGGAATTTCTGTTTTTGGCTCCGCCTGTTACCGCAGGGGGGTTCAACAAAAGAACATGACACAGACTGGCCTAGTATTCGTCGAGAGGGATAGATTGGTGCTCCGAGAGACGCGGGACGCGGGAAGAAAGCAAAGGGGTCCGACATATGCCAATTGCTGCATATCAGCGCAGTGGCCGACATGCTTGTTGCGATCCCAGATCGGCCCAGAGGCCGCTTTGGAGGGATGCCCTGGGCGAGCGTCACAACAGATGGACGCTCAAGTGGTAGTTACGGGGTGCAGCACCGTGGGGCCCAGCAGAAGCAAATTTCGATTGCTTGCTCCACTCTTGTTTTTTCGCCATTGCGAGACGCCGCTTCTGGCACGGCGCGTCAGCACCAGCCTGACAGTAGTTAGAAGGGCGCGGCGCCGCGAGCGGATGACACCCAGGCCATTGGCAGATGGTGTGGGCGGAACGGCTCGCGACCAGCATTGTACCCTTCCGGCGCCCCGGAACGGAGAAAGGAGCTTCCCGCATGTTGCCGTGTGACATCGTCGTTGCATCGGTGGCGATGGCGGTGATGGTGATGGTGATGGAGAAATAGCGATGATTGTGATGATGATTATGATTATGATGATGATGATGATGATGATGATGATGATGATGATGATGATGATGATGATTATGATGATGATCTTGATGATGATGCTGATGCTGATGCTGATGCTGATGCTGCTGATGATGATTATGATGATGATGATGATGATGATGATGATGATGATGATGATGATGATGATGATGAAGACGCCGCCGATGACGACGACGACGACGACGGCCGCCGTGAAGGCCGTTCGCGGGACCCCGCGCGGATGCCCCGCGCGGGTGCCCTTGCGCGCGTGATCCGCGCGCTCGGCGGAGGGGGCCACCGGCCGCTCCGCTCTTGCCCGTGCAGGGCGCCCGCGGGGCACGGCCCCTCGCCCGCGAGAGCGGCGGGCCCGCGCCACTCCGAGAGCGCGCGGCCCCTCGAGAGCAGAGGCAAGGAAGGAAAGCACGGGCCCGCGCTGCGGGGCCTCAGCTGTTCTTCAGAGCGCTGGGGGCGTGTTTGTTCCGCTGTCCACTTTGCGTGGTGCGGTCGACCAAGGCAGAAGAAACATAACAAAACGGCAACCCAAAACAGAACAAAGACGACACTGGCCAGGCCCAGAACGAGCGACGCGCGGCAACCCAAATCAGCAAAGAACGGCAACCCAAAACAGTAAACAGATACAGAAACGGAAAACAGACAAACAACTACATGTTTTAACACTTGCGAAGGCCTTATGGCTGGTGCCGCCGGCCCTGAAGACGGCGACGACGAGGTCGACGGGGATGTTGAGGAGCAGATGGCGGAGGACGCTGGGGAGCAGGAGGTGCGAGGAGGAGGAGGAGGAGGAGAAGGAGGAGGTGCGAGGGAGGAGGAGGAGGAGGACGAGGAGGGGAGGGAGAGGAACGAGGAGGGGAAGACGAGGAGGGGGGGAGCAGGGGGGAGAGCGAGGCGAGCAGGGATGCATTTGCGGGAGAAGGACGGCTAACAAGGAGGAGAGGCAGCGGTGGGTAGAGCGTGGCGAGCATGAGCAGCAGAATACGAAGGAGAAACGCAATGACGAGGATGTTGACGATGATGACGACGCAGATGATGTCGTTGATGATGACGATGATGATGTCGTTGAGGGAGGGGGGGTGTAAAACCGGCGGCAGGAGAAGTTGGAGGAGGAGTAGGAACGTGAGGATGATGGTAATGAGGGGGAAGAGGAAGGGGATGAAGAGGAATAGCCCCAGGCCGAGGAGGAGCGGGAGTAGGAGGCGGAGGAGGAGGGGGGCGAGCATGTGGAGGCTCACGAGGTTCAGGAAAACAAGAGGGGGCACACATACTCTTGTCCAGGGTGGTTCCCCAGAAGGCTGATGGTGGACATGGACGACGTGCTTACGACGACGATCACGACCACGACGACGACGATGACGACTACGACGCTCACGACGACGACGGACGACCAACTGTGTTTTTGGGCATCGCGTCCGTGGCCGAAAGAGGAAAAGGAGGGCCAGGAGAGGGAGGGAAACGGGAGTGGCGGGGAGTGGGGGAGTCGTATCGTCCCTTGGACCCCCCCAGAACCCCCCTCGGGACCCCCCCCCGGCGGGGATGGGATCAAAGGGAAGGGGCTTCCCTTCGACTCAACTACAACGTTGCTGAATTTCGCTGTGGCTGGCGCGCTCGAGGAGGAGGGCCCGATGACGAGTTAAACGGAACAGCCTCTTCTTCCACACGCCGACAGGGTCGGCGGATAAGAAAATGGATCGCAGAACGAACCGAAAACGGCGAGACGGCAATCTTAAAACGCAACAGAAAGACGGTTCCCAAAACAGAACAAACGTCGACCTTTAAAACGAAGAAAATCTTCCCCAGCGTTTTTAAGACTATCTAAATGTTGGGGCACGACCCTTCTTCTTGGCATCGCTCGGAAGTTTGCAGTTTTCTCTGCGGGGCCATCGCCATACAATCTGGGCCATTTTGGAGCATCTGGGGTCATCTTGAGAACGCCAAACATGTACGAAACCGAAACAATGAACGGGGAATGGACGTCCGAGTTATGTCAACAAAAATGAAACTTCGGGCCCGCGCCCGAGGCCCCACCCGCGCGAAGGCCCCGCTCCTTAGCTGCCCAAAAGAAAAACCGATCGCGCCAGAATTGTGGGTGTGCCAGCACGCTGCGTGTTGCGCATCTCCCCCCTGGCACAGTGCGGGCCTCGCCGCGCGTTTCGAGGCCTGCGCGGGCTTGCGCCCCGCAGGCCAGGCCCCACGCCTCGGCCGACGGGCGCCGCCAACGGCGCCGCCGGGCGGCCCATCACGCGTGGGCGACGCATGGCTTGGGGGCGCGACCCCCCCAGAAGCAGGGCCAGAGCAGAGCACCGCGCGCCCGCTCCCCGGGGTCTCGACGCATCCTGCGGACTCTGCGTCTGCGAGCCCGCGCCCCCGAGACCCCTCGCGCGGAGGCCCCGCTCTCCCCCCGGGCGCCGCGCGGGCCTCGCCGCGAGTGTCTGAGCCTGCGCGGGTTCGCGCCCCGCAGGCCCGGCCCCCTGTCTCGGCCCTGGCCGCCGACGGGCGCCGCCTCGGGCGCCGCCGGGCGGCGGCCCATCACGCGCAGGCTCGTTCGAGCTGGAGGCCGGGCTTCTGCTTTCTGCGGTGGCCGAGCCTCCATCTACCCATCATCAGGATGCGTGCCCACTCTTCGTCTTCCTCCTCCTCTTTCTCTCCTTCGCGGGCCGCTTCTGGAGGCACCCGATCGGGAATCTATGATGCCAGGTCGAAGGTTTACAGACCCCCCGCCCCAGATTTGATGGGTCTGGGGCGTCACGCCTCCTCTCCTGACTGGGATGAAGGGGGGGACAACGACGACGACGACGAAGACGAAGACGGAGGAGGAGGAGGAGGAGGACGAAGACGACGACGACAACGAGGACGAGGACGACGACGACGACGGCGGCGGCGACGACGACGACGACGGCGGCGGCGACGACGACGACGACCCACAGGGCCACGCCCACACGGGGCAGTGCGCGACCCATCGCGTCGGGGGGGCCCGAAGCATCAGCATGAGAAAAGGGGGGCGGGCCAGACCCCTGAATCATATCCGGGGCTTAGATCCGCCAGCTCTGGTCCACCACGCTTCGTCGCGGCACGCTATCCTTCCCGGCCCCCAGGCGTCAACGTCCTGAGCTTTTCCGAGCCTTCCGTCCCGCGGAGCGGAGCGATACGCTATCCGCTCGCAGGGCATAACAGCGTGTCTCAAGGAGCGCGGCCGCGACACGCTGTGCACAAGTTCCTGACCATCTGTCCGTGGCTCCCGGGAGGGGCGGGGGCGCGGCAGGCCGCGGGCGCCGCTTGCCTGGAGCTGGACGAGCTGCACGGGCTCTCGCTCGTGCAGACCTTCACGGCGGCGGGCCTGGCCGCGACGGCGGCGGCGACGACGGCGGCGGCGACGGCGGCGGCGGCGACGGCGTCGAGGCGGAGGACATCTCACGCTTTCTTTCGTCGTCCGCCGCCTCTCCAGTCGGTCGGTCGGTCGGTCGGTTGGTCGGTCGGTCGGTTCGTCGTCGTCGTCGTTGTCGTCGTCGCCGCCGCCGCCGCCGTCGTCGGTCGTCGCCTCCAGGAGGAAGGCGCAGGAGGAGGCCCTCCTCCCCCTCTCGATGATCCTCAGGATGTGTGGTAGCCGCCTCGGTGTTCGTCTGTTTCCCCGTTCGGCTCCTCTGATGGTGCATAGCCTGCGTCTGCCCTCAGTATCCACCTGCGTCGTATCGAAGGTTTTCGGTGGTAAGCACACGTTGGGGCGAGTGCACGTTCGCAGGGTCATCGACACTCCTCCTCCCACCTCGCGTGACGGGGCCACCTGTGTGTCCGAAGGTGCACCAGCGGGATGGACAGCGCCACGGGCTGGATGCCGAGGCCAGGGCGAACCTCTCCGAGCTGCTGCGGGGGCACGCACGGTTCCAAGAGAAAGGCCCGGGGTTTTGATGCCGCCACCCATCCTTGTCGCAGCCGCCGTTGTCGCCGCCATCGCCGTCCTCCGTTCTACTCCTCTTGGGGGCTTCCGGGTTCCTCAGATGCTGGCGTTACGGCGAGAAGAGAGATACAAAGAAGGGCGTCGAGAGTTTTAGTCGTGATTTTTGCGCGGGTCTGAGAGTTGCAAGGGGCCAGCTCTGTCGTATGCTGCCCTGGAGCTGAGGTCCACGGACGGCCTGCAGCAAGTGGGATTCTTGCAAGTCGCGGCGGGGCCGAGGGAGCAGCCCAGATTACCAGCTTCAACACCCGACCAGACGCCGAGGGCAATGCTCGAAGCTGTAGGCTCCATGGATCGAGGACTTGTTTTTCACCGCGACGCTTACAGGATACCCGTTATGATGACCACAGGTTGGGCACGTACTTGACGTCATTGTCCCTCTTGTTCTGTTGGGATGCGTTCGATCGTCGTGTATCCTCCACGACGTGATGGTGGGCATGGGAGAGCACGCCCTGCCCTCCGCAGGCGGCGAACCCTTCATCGGGGTCGAGGATCGAGATCCAGCATCGGCGATCGAGGAGGAGCAGGAAGAACGAGGATCGAGGATCGAAGACAAAGAGGAGGAGGAGGAGGAGGAGGAGGAGGAGGAGGAGGAGGAGGAGGAGGAGGAGGAGGAGGAGGAGGAAGGCCCGAGGGCGCCCTGGGGGAGTGACGAGATCTATGCAGATCCGCTGCCCCAGGCCAGCCCATCCTGGGTCCAGGAGCGGTGCACGATGATGCCTCCGTGGCGAAGTCAGGAAGGCATATACACCACTTCTTGGCCCAGGATGGACCTGACCAGGGGCAGTGGATATCGTTGAAGGAAACACGTGCGACCAACTTCGCCCCCCAGCCTCGATATTGAACAAGCGGAACGTTCCCGGAGAAGCGGGGCCAGACAAATCTTGAGCCCAACGTCTCGAACGCAAGCTACTAGCCAATGTTCAGGCTGGAGGGTGGAGGGGGAGCGTGCTTCTTTCTAGTTTGGGGCGCTGTGACTGCAAAGCGTTTTCCTTCAACCGTGTGTATAGGCATCACTGCCCTACCGGGGGGGGCATCGCCGTGCCCTCCGCAAGCCCTCCGCAGGCGGCGACCCCGTTATCGAGCAGAACCCGCAGCTGGAGCGCTTCGGCATGCCCGGCGACCTCGACGACAGGCTGCCCCCGGCCCCGACCTCGCGGCCATCCGCGCACCCCCTCCCCCTTCCCTCCCACCCACCATCCCTCCCTTCCACCCTTTCTCTCCGCACCATCTCCCCGCCCCTCCATCCCTCCGTCCCTCCCTCGCTCCCTCTCCCTCCCTCCCCTCCCTCCCTCCTTCCCTCCCCCTCGCCCCTCCCCTCCATCCATCCTTCCCCCCCATGTTTCCTCCCTCCCCTCCCCCCTTCCCTCCCTTCCTCCTCCCTCCCTCGCCCCTCCCTCCCCTCCCTCCCTCACCTCCCTTCCCCCCTCCTTCCCTCCCCTCTCCATCTTTCCCTCCTTCTTCACTCCTTTCCTCCATCCTTCTCTTCTTCCTGCACTCCTGCCTCCGTTTCTCGCGCTCTGGATCCGCGGCCCCAGCACGAGACCCGTTCCAGGTCTGGTGTCTACCGGGGCCATGCGTATCACCCAGAGGTCTTCGGTAGAGCTCAACCCAAGGGGGCGCCCTTCAGGGTGTTCTCCTCAGCGCCCAGAGATGTTCCTCTCAGTGTCTTATCCCTCCCTCCTCCCTTCCCTTCTCCGCCGCCCCTTGGCAAATTGATCCGAGCAGTTGGCTGCGCGGTTTCAGGCCGGCGTTCACCGGCTGCGAGCCCGCACGGCCAGTGTGCTGCCTTCGTCCTGCTCCCTCCTCGCCGTTTTCTCGTCCGCCTGCTTCCTGGTCCTCCTCGCGTCAAAGTGGGGAGCAGGAGCAGGCCGAAGAGGAGGGAGGAGTTAGAGGAGCAGGAGGATGGAAGAGGAAGGGGAAGGACGAGGAGCATCGAGAGAGGATCGAGGTTGGAGAATCGGTAGTATCGGCCAGCTCTGATTTTTGGGCTTCCTGGGGGCGCACTCGCGGCCACGACGTCATCCGCTTCGAACTCCTAGGTCCTAGGCAAAACGAACCTCAGGAGAGGTCCAGGAGAGGAGTAGGGGGACGGGGCGAGGGAGGAGACCGAAACGTATCTTAATGTTTTCGGAAGAAGGATTTCCATGGCATCGCACCACAGGTCAGTTACCCAATCGATGCTGTGGTCTGTTGCAGCAGCCTGTGGTAATCCTGGTTCTGAAGATGTGGGTGGATGGAATCGGTGGTTCTTCTTTTTCATCCAGCCATCCCTCACCTCGCTTTCTTCCACCACTCCTCCCCGTCCCCCTCCCGCTCCCGAGCTGGCTAGACCCCCCCCCCATCCCTCTCTCCCTGCTTCCCTCGTCTCCCCTCCGTAACGGAGATAAAGAGTCCCACGCCAGCTCCGACTGGGACGATGTGTATGCTCACTTTGTCTGAATGGCCGGGCAGGTGCAGCAGTGGATGGGTTCATTATTGACTTCTTGACCTGGAGGGGCTGCTGCCCCTTCTGGGGGCCGATCACTACACTCTCCCCCCCTCCCTCCCTCCCTCTCTCTTTGTTGTTCTTTCTTTCTCCCCTCTCTCTCTCTCTCCTTCGTTCTTCCTCCTCCTCCTCCTCCTCCTCCTCCTCCTCCTCCTCCCTGCTACCCGCCCACTTCCCTCCCTGCCTCCCTCCCTCTTCCTCCATGCCTTCCCCACATGGGATCCGCTTCAGCCAAATCTCACGACACTGACTGCTTGATTCATGTGGCCCTGTTCGCTGGTGCCAGCGCCGAAGTCGAGCAATCAGGGAACTAGGGCTGCACAGGTGTAAATCCCGTTGGTGTATCTAGAGAATCTGTCACATCCGTTGCTCCCTAATGGGCCAATAGAACACCATATGCCCGCCGTCTCCTCTGCACCCGCGCGTCCCAACCTTGAGCAAAAGAACACGAAGCGCCGCTAGTGCGTTTCGTAAAGCAGTGCTTGTATTTTGTGGCTTCGCATTTGTGTTCTGAGGACCTGGGCCTGGGACTCTGTCTTGGGGCTATGTTGTCACCGTCGCCGCCCCGTCCCCGCCTCGTCGCCGCCCGTCGTCTGGGCCTGGGGATCAGTCCGGCGGTTATGTTGTCGCCGTCGCCGCCCCTCGTTTTGGCCTGGGTCTCGGTCTGGCGGGTATGCTGTCGCTGTCGCCGCCCCGTCTCCTTGCGCCACGGGTTGCATAACATAGTTCGAGCACCACACAGATTGCGCACCTGATAGACCCCCATTTCTAACAAGAAAATGTTGATCTCCCCCCCCCTCCCCCCCCTCACCCCCAGGGTTAACGGTTCATTTCTTCGTTTTGTAAGTTTCATACGATCCGGCCCCATTGTCCATCCGAAATCCGAACTCATCCCAGCTAAGCGGGTTCGACCCCCCACCCTCTGCAGTATTATATTATGCGCGCGCACTCGCTGTTCAGAAATCGTAGAATTGTTGACGCTTCGCGAATCCCCACCAGCCCGTCCAGAAGCGATGCCCAGAGGAATTGCCTCGATCAGGGAAGTGGGCAGCACACTGAGGAAGCCATTATGAGACATCTTGGGATACCTTGAGCCATCTTGGAGGTAATTTTTGGCTCTCCCAGGCGCTCTTGGAGTCACCTTAATCAGTGCCCCCCCCAAGAGGCAGACATGTGACTTCCTTCGTAAAATCAATGATTTGACATTCTCGCCGAGGCCTCTTGGAGCATCTTGGGTGCCTCTGGGGGGTCTCTTGTGGCCTCTTGGAGGTCTCTTGGGGGCCTCCTGGGGGCCTCTTGGGGGCCTCTTGGGGCCATCTTGGGGCCATCTTGGGACCTCTCGGGGCCTCCTGGGCGCTTCTTGGGGCCACCTCGGAGGAGATCGATCAAACAAGATGGGAGCACTAATCTGCGTCCCCCCCCCAGGAGGCCAAAATGGGGCCAAAACCCTAGTAAAACCAATGATTTGGGCTTCCCCGCCGGCGCCGTTTTGGACGCCCTGACACCTCGCGCCCCCCCCCTCCAGGCCCAGGGGAGGGGGTAGGGGGAGGGGCAAACTCATCCCCGAAGGGGAAGAAGGAGGGGTGGAAGAGGAAATTGTTGACGCTTCGCGAATCCCCACCAGCCAACCTTGGTTGGCTAATTTTGCATGCGCTCGCTCCTGGACCTGTTTCCTGGCAGCTGCAGCCCGCACCACCTCTCGCTTCTGGTCCACTTAGGTGCCGCTTTGGCCTCAGGTTTGCCGGCGCGTTAGACAATTAGGTTCGCGCGTAGCCCTTCCGTCCCGTTGACGCCGCCTTCGCCTTCGCTTGCGGCTGCGACAAGAAAATCCCCACAAAGCCAACTCAGAAACGATGCCCAGAGAAATTGCCTCGATAAGAGAAATGGGCAGCACATAGAGGAAGCCATTCTGAGACATCTTGGGATATCTTGAGACATCTTGGAGGTAATTTTGGGCTCTCCCAGGCGCTTTTGTAATCATCTTCATCGGTGCCCTCCCCTAAAAGGCCAACGTGTGGCTAAAACTTTAGTTAAACTAATGATTTGGCATTTCGCCGAGATATGAGGAAAGGCAAGAGGAAGGAAGGGAGGGGGTGGACAGAGGAGGAGGAGGAAAAGGTGGATGAGGGGGAGGAGAAGAATGACGCAACCCAGAACCAGGAACTTCTTAAATGATTTTTTTTCGGAGATCCTCTTGAGGCATATTGCAGGTATCTTGGGAGCTCTTGGACGCCTCTTGGAGGCCTCTAATGCTTCTCTTGGGGCGCTTTTGGAGCGCCTTTGAGGGCTTCAGAGCCGCTCTTGGGGCCATGTGGGAGGAGATTTGTCAAAGAAGGGGGGGGCACTAATTAGCGTCCCCCCCTCTAGATCCTCTAAAATCGTTTCCTGGACCCCTCTTGAAGCTCTCTTGGGGCGCTCTTTGGCGTTGTTGAGCCAATCCTGAGGCTCTTTTGGGCCCCTCTGGGGGCCCTCTTGGGCCATCTTGGAGCTATGCTGAGGCGTAGGATGGGCATCGGAAACGCAAAGGCGACAACGCCAAAAACCTTGATTTTCCCAAAGGGTTTTGAAGCAGGTTGGCCTCTTGGTGGCATCCTTGGGGAGTTTTTTTTGCCACTTCGAGCAGTCTTGGGGCGGTCTTGGAGCGTCTCCGAGCATCTTCGGAGCCATCTTGAGGCATCTTGCGCTATCTTGAACCATCTTGGAGGTTACCTTGGGCTCCTTGACGCCATCTTGGAGCCAACTTGGGCGAAAAACTACCCTCTGACACCTCTCCGCCCCTCCCGTCCAGGTCCACGGGGAGGGGGTAGGGGGAGGGGCAAACCCCTCCCCGAAGGGGAAGGGGGAGGGGTGGAAGAGGAATCGCCCTAAACCACCGACGCCCAGAGGGCTGGTGGGACTCACCATACCACCGACGCCCAGAGGGCTGGTGGGATGTCAAGAATCCCTCGCTCAAAACAACAATGGTCGAAGTGCACGCGCGCGCGTCGTCGCGCGCGCATGCCAACATATTCCAAGCACCGCGGGTTTAGCACGGAATTCAGAACCGAGTATCCACACACCAATTAAAACACGCATGGTTGCGCAACAAGGGCTTTCAAAACAAAATCTTGCGCGCGGTTTGCCCCTCCCCCTGCCCCCTCCCCGTGGACCTGGGCGGGAGGGGCGGGGAGGTGTCAGGGCGTCCAAAACGGCTTCGGCAAGGAAGCCAAAATCATTTATTTTACTAGGGTTTTGGCCGGGGGACGCTAATTCGCGCCCCCCCCCCCCGTCCCGTGATCGATCTCTTCCAAGATGGCCCCAAGAAGCGCCCAGGAGGCCCCAAGAGTGCCCCAAGATAGCCCCAAGAGGCCCCCAGGAGGCCCCCAAGAGGATCCCAAGCGGCCCAAAGAGGCCCCCCGAGGCACCCAAGACGCCGAAAAGCCCCTCAGGATGGCCCTCTACTCGCCTGGGCGTCGTTTCTGGATGGGCTGGTGGGGATACGCGAAGCGTCTAGAATTCTCACGGCAAACCATTTGTTATGAACCGTTTTTGAAAGTAAAGAACTACCACGCGGGATTCGCCCCCGCGCGCATGTCGAAATCGGTCGGCCTCCTTTGTGCGCGTGCTGTCGCCAGAGTCCTTTGCAACAAATGGGACGACGTGCGCGC